TGTATATAAATCAACGTTTTTCCAATGTATGTAAAAACATTGCAAAAAGTTGATTGGGGTCGTCCATAAAGGACGTCATTCAGAATTTAAATACTAACCAAAAAGTAAAAGTTAATTGGCTCTCTTCCGCGGAGACTTTCATTGAATATATAGCGCTATATTATTCTAAAAATTTCTGCGCAAGAGAGCAAATATTTTTCTAATTTTTGCTATTAGTTAAACTTAGCGTGACGACTTTTATGGATGACCCCATTGCTTTTACGAACTAAACCCAACGTTCAATGTATGCAATCAATGTATTTTTTTTTTTTTTTATTTGTCATAAAAAAAGAATACAATGCCGTGTTATATAAATAAAATCTACATGACCGGGGCTAAAAGAAGACAACATTTGTCTTATCACTACACCCCGACGTGCTTTCATCAGCAAGCGTGTATAACCATTAAAATGTAAACATAAAACATAAAATTACTTTTTGCCATTAAAAAATTATATACAAATATATACAGATCAAGTTAAGATCAATTACTAATTTATAATCAAAAAATAATCGTAAAAAAAAAAAGGAAAAAAGCTTATCACACTGAAGATAAGTTAATAGGATAATTAAAGAAAGTTTAAATTGGTTAGTCTAGTTAATAAGATAGTTGTTAAAAAAGATGATAAAAGAATCTTAAAAAGAATTTAATTCATTAACATCGTTAACAAGTTTTCGTTTGAGTTTTTGTTTAAATAGAGAAAGTGAAAAACAGTTTTTCAGCTGGTTATTTAATAAAGTGTTCCATAATTTAGGACCTGTGATGGCGATAGTATTCAATGTATGCAATTAAGCACTGGTATTGCAAAATTATATAACTTAAATAAAATCTTCAGTGATTAATAAAATATCAAACCACAATCAATACAAACTCGATTTTTGTTCTGACAGTTATACATGGTAAAATTTGTACTTAAAAAAATAATATACTGCAAAACTATAGTTTTTAACAAGTTGAGATAATGTACTTTACATAATTGTAAATAAATATTTATAAAAATATATATATATATATAACTATTCTTATTTATGATTAAATAATCACTGCCATCCATTATTTGATCACATATAATTTCCTTATTTAAATGCTTTTCTATAGCGTACGTAATGTGTTTTTTGTGTTAAAGTCCTGAATTGTTTCTGTTATTTTATTATAAATTTCTTCCTTTAAATAAAAATTTCTTATAACCTTTTTTAAACATCTTACTCTTCTTTACACTTAAAACATCTTACTCTTAAAACATCTTACTCTTCTTACACTTTACCTTATCTTTCGATTTCTCTCCGCACATGGCAGTATAATAAAAAAACAAAAAATACAAAAAAATACAAAATCAAAAAACACAAAAAAAATATAAAATCAAAAAAATATATATATCCATGGTAACTAGTGTAACAGCTTTCTTTTATAACAAAATTATTGACAGCTTTTTGAAAATTTGTAAATTGATATATTGTGAAACTGTAAAATTTGCTACTTGAGTTAATGTTATGTATTTTATAAAATTGTATATAATTATTATTAAAATAAAAAAAAAAAAAAAAAAGAAATATAACTATTTTCCGACTTTAATAAAACGTTTTATCAACATTAGTTTTTAGTTTTTGGCGACGTCGCATTTGTAACCATAATGATATAAAAACAACGTTGGCAGCCGATGTTGGGCCAACGAAACGCGCGACATTGTTCTTATGTTTTAACAAAGTATGTGTGCTAGCTGGATTATAATGAAATTTTGTTACGTAAATGGGCATAACTTTTTGTAGAATTTTTTTTTTATGAAATTTTCGCCGTTGTAATACTAATTTAAAGCTCTTTTTAATGATGAATAATATTTATATAAAAATTATTTATATAATATTTATTTATATAATATTTATATAATATTTATAAAATTTATATAATTTATATATTTATATAATATTTATAAAATTTATATAATATTTATATAAAAATTATTTGAAATTTTTACACACGTTCCTACGTTTTATTCAAATAACGTGCTGTATAAAGAAAAAATTACAAAGAAATATGAAAATAACTTATGACTTTTAAAGCATAAAAACTTTTTTGAAGTGGTTTTGTTTAAGCTCGGACGAAATTTGAATTCGATTCGAAAAAATTGAACTGAATTGGGAATTTGAGGTCAAATTCGAATTTCGAATTCAAACTCGAAATTCGAATACAAATTTTGTCGAATTTAAGATCTGAATTTGAATTAGATTTTTAATTGCGAATTCTGATTAATTGTATATAAATTTGAAAAAAATTTAAAATTTGAATTTGAGTTTCGAATTTGATTAAATTTGGAATTGAATTTATAATTGATGCAGTTTTTTTAAGCAAAAATGAAATAGTTCCAAGCGCTTCAACAAAAGCTTTATAATAAAATTCTAAAACATTATTGGCTTATTCTATTTTTGCGCGCTAAAGTATGCTTTTATTTGTTAGTATAAAAAAATTTAACATTTTAAAGCGTAGAATGTAACAATTACAAAATTCGGATTTTAATGAAAAGATTGCGTGATCAGAAAGTTTAGCGCAATGAGTTCAATCACAGTTCTCCACTGCGACCGCCAGGGTAAATTTTGGTTTAGTCCAATTTTTTTCTGGCTGAAAGTTATTATTAGATTTAAAAAAGAAGTTTTGAATTGTTTTTAAAATCAAAACTAACTGCTAAGCATAAAAATATTTGATTTAGTTCATAAATCAGAACTCAGTTTGGCGGTCAAACATTGGCGGCCCCGGGCCGATCCACAGACCTACAATAGGAGGGCAATCAGACACTGATCATTATTTCTAATAAAATAAACACTGGTTGGTTGCCCCCTTTTAGAGGTCTTGGAAATGGTCTAGAGGGGGAAGATATATATATGTATATATATATGTATATATAAACATATATATATATATATATATATATATATATAAATATATATATATATATATATATATATATATATATATATATATAAATATATATATATAAATATATATATATATATATATATATATATATATATATATATATATATATATATATATATACTATATATATATATATATATATATATATATATATATATATATATATATATATATATATATATATATATATATATATATATATATATATATATATATATATATATATATATATATATATATATATATATATATATATATATATATACATACATATATCAGGCCTTGCGATAAAGCGTCGGGCGATGTAAATTTTACGTCGTCCAAGAGCGATTTTGCGTGTAGCTAGGGCTATTTGCGTCGAGCAAAAAAAATTTTGTTTGAGTATATTTAAAGATATTTTTGAGCGGAATTTTAATGAAGTAGTTTACGATTGTTTTAACATTTAATAAAGTATTTTATAAACCGCACGCAGTTGATATAAAAGTTTGAATTACAAAAAAATTAAATATGCTCATTATTTACAAGTAGAATAAATTCAGATTAAAAAAAAAGTTTAAATCTTTTAAGCTAACATTTTAATAAAATTATTCAGCAATAGCAAAGTTGTCGATAAAATTGAACAAAAATACTTTCTTTTAGTTTTAGATTTTAAACTTAAATAATTATTTTACGGGGGTTTGTTAGGTTTTAAAATTATTCCATAGATTTAAAAATATTTATTAGCTGTTAGACGTATTTAAAGTATTTAAGAGTAATTTCGAGGAAACATTTTAAAAATTGGTGAGCGCAAATAAAAAAAAAAAGGATTAATATTAAAACGTATTCTACTTGATTCAATAAAAAAGTACAGTTATTAAAATTTTTGTAAAAAGGAACGATCGCTAATAACGATCGTTAATAACGATCGCTTTTATGTTAAAAATTACCGAAACTCAACGAAGCGTGCTCAAGAACAGCTGCTGAAAAATAGAACGTCAATAGTTTTTCGAATAATTTTTAATAATAATTTTTAAGAATAATTTTTTCGCTGAAATATTTCTTTTATACCTATAAGATTTTTATTCTAACATTTTATTTTATTTTAATAGAAATAAAATTCCTTGTTAAAATTAATCTATTCAAAGCGTTCGTTTAAGTTTTTTATTAATACGAGCAGGGCCGGCGCGAGTAGGTGTCACGTGGGGGAGGGGGGGTGCCATTACAACTTTTGCCGACTAAAAAAAAAAAAAAAAGGTCCTCGTTTTCCAAAATTTGCCGACTGTCATTACGACATTTGCCCGCTGTCTAACCTATATCGAAATGGTCGACATTTGCCGACTAACTAGTCTAAAAAGGTCCGATTTGCCGACTAAGGGTCCAGTTTGCCGACTAAAAATCATTAATGGGGGCGTGTCACACCCCTCTATCGCGCCGGCCTTGAATACGAGTGATTGTGCTTATCAACCGCTTTATGAAAATAAATAAAAATAAGTAAATAAATAAATATTATATAAAATCGCTTGTAAAAATATTAGCTATTGCACAGTTTTTAATCGTACAATACTAAAATTTCCAGTTTATTACTCGCTGACTTTTTAAAAAGAAAAAATAATTATTTGAAAAACTTTAAATTACATATTTAAGAAAAAAAAAATCAAGTATTAGCATATTTTATAATCTTTTTTAAATTTAAGTTATAATGTTTTTTATACGTTTAGTAAAGACAAAACGAGTCAAACGTCGAGAAAATAAGCAAATGTTTTTACATTTTAAAAAACGAAACATTCCAAAACATTTTTAAATAACAACATTTTTACATTAATGATTTAAAGTAGTTTTGCGGTAATTAAGTAAATTGGTGCAGTTAATGGCGAAAAATATGAAAAGCAAATAAAAAGAATTTAATGACGTCAAAAATCACGTCGTGCTTATGCGTCGCGCAGTTTTTATGCATCACAAGGCCTGATATATATATAAGAATTATTAATATATAGTACAATAATTAAAAAATTAATATAATCGTACTATATAGAACAAAATAAAGGATAACAAAATAAAGTATTATTTTAAATTATTTTTTCCAAATTCTACAACACTTTTTTTAGCTGTGTTCCAGCTCTGGAGGTGGGATGCTATGTTCAACCAATGTTTCTGAAGGCTCATCAAGATAAAGAATTCTTGGAGAAACACAGTTTTTGAACTCTTTCATTTTCTTATGTCTGCAACCATCAGCAACAAACTTCTTGTAGTTGATGTCTATGAATCCAAACGTTTTTTTTACACCACTTTCAAGTAAGCATTCACCCTCGCGCCAAAGACATGAAAATTTGCCACTGTGGCTACTTAGACCAAATAAAGAATTTCCGCATTTAAGATCAAATGCAACTGAATATTTAACATCTTCCAACCGCAGTGGAGCTAAAAGTAAATTAAGGTTTCCATTGTGTTCAGAAACATCCTCTACTAAAGACAAAATTATTGATCGTTTTACTCCAGCATCATCAAGCTTTTTTGAGCTTGAATGCTTGACTAAAAGATCAAAAACATTCAAAACACATTTCAGAAATCCCTGTCCTGAATCATCTGAAATTCTTGCTATACTGGAATAAGGATCTAAGCCTCTCTCTTCATTGTGTGAAGAATAAGATCTGATGTATTTTTAACAAACACTAGGCTACGAGTTAACTTTTCATCTCCTGATATAAATGTTTCTTTAACAACATCATAAAACTCTGACAAAGAATCATGTAATCCTTCCATTTGAAGCGTAATATTGGTATCAACCATGTTTTTACCTAGGTTTTCACGTAAGTTAGTACAAAGAATCTTTGTTTTTTTTTGGGACAAGCTCAAAGTGTTTGAGAGTTCCATTATAACATCAAAGGATAACTTTTTAAGTGATATTCTTTTAGATTTTGTATCTGGTATTCCAACAACAACATTTAATGTATTACCGAAAGTCTTAAGGCAGAAATTTTGACCTCGTTCAATATTTTTTATCGTCATTTTATTTTTGAGGAGTCCTGAAAAATAAAACTATTAACTCTAAAAAAGTTTTCTTTTAAGGTTTTGCAGTTTCAGATTGGTTATAAGTTTCAGATATAATTAAAAAAAACTGTTATAAATTTAAAGTTGAAATTAAGCACCTGATGCTATTTGTTCACTACATACATGTCCAAGAGCTTCTGAATGGCTAATGAGATTTTTAACAGCTTGGCTTTTGTAGCACAAATGAGATAATCCTCTTCCTTGAATTAAAGAGTAATTATAAGTAATCATTTTTAAAATCATTTAACAGTTATCATTAGTTCAAGTTATTTGTTAACAAACAATTATTTTATTGTATATAAAATTGAATTTATTATAATATATAGTTAAATTATCAACAAATATACTAACCAGTAACTAAAACACATATTTTATGCAGTTTGATAGGATATTCTGTGTTTCCATCATTGACTGGAACAAGTTCTACTGCCTTTTGTTTAATATTTGATGCTCTTTTTAACTTTTGTCGATCAATCTTAACAAAAACACAACAACTTTTTGTGATAAATTTTTGCTATTTTGTAATAAAATGATGGCATTTATTGTAAACTAAATGCGATGATAATAGTTAATCTATATAATTAACGCCTATAATAAATAAAGTTAATACCTGTGATATTTTAGCTTTCCACAACCCGATTTTTTGTGTTTCTCCTCTGTGTAAAGCATAAAGGTTTGTTACACATGATGAACATATATACTTGGAACAACATTCTTTTTCCGCATCATATTCTTTCCATAAAAAGTTTTGAATATGTCTTTCAATCCCTGGAGTGATTTTTAACACTTTTTCAGATCTTTTACCAAATATCTCCAAGCAGCATGCACATATTATGTTTGAGGATTCTGCCATTTTGCACAAAACGTAATTTTCAATATACTACTAACTATTTTTAAGTGAAATAGAAAATATTAGACTAAACAAAAAATTACCATAATTCTATTAATTAAAAACAAAACTACTGTTTATATAATAAAGATAAAACAAATTTTTTTATCTACTTTATTATTTTTGAATCTAATATGGATAACTTGAAGTTGTTATTTCCTTCAAATTTCTATAGCACAAAAATTGAAAATTCAATTTTAGCCATTTTGTCAAAAATTTCAAATTTCGTGATCATTTTTTGCAAAACTGATAAGCGGAATGATATTTCTATGATAAAGCTTTTGATATATTATCTAAATATCAAATATTTTATTAAAAAAGAGTGCGTAAATGACGTCATTTTCTCCCAATATATTTAAGCATATAAATCGATAATTTATATGCTTAGCAGTTAGTTTTGATTTTAAAAACAATCTAAAACTTCTTTTTTAAATCTAATAATAATTTTCAGCAAAAAAATTTTAGACTAAACCAAAATTTACCCTGGCGGTCGCAGGGGAGCACTGTGAGTAATGAATAATAAAACTTAACTATATATTAAAATTCTTAAAAATAGCTTTCACTTGTTTTCAAACAGAACAATATTATGTTTTGTCAGCTTCGTTTTTTTTTTTTTAATTTGAGGTGCTCTGTAATATGAGCTTACGCTTTTATTACCTTAATAACAACAAGTAAATTTAAATAACTTTAAAAGACATCCTTTTCAAAGGTTTTTTCTGAAATGTTTTCTCTTATAGAAGAACAAAAAAGTTACGGTAAAAAGGTGGGTAGGGCACTTGTTCCCCTTTGTATCGTTGGCCCTGAAAAAATACTTCAGTATGCAACATCATAATGTGATTGGGGCTATACAACTGCTGAAATTTTTAAAACTCAACCAATTTTAAATGGTAGTAAAATATTAATTGAAAGATTTTATACCAAAAAAGCGTGCAAGTTTAATAGGACCACTCCCCGGGTTTTTGCCCTTAGAAACAAAGTATATCTTTAACATAGAAGCACACCAGGACTATATAAGCGATGAAAGTTTTATAGCTGTAACTAGTCTGAAAGGTAATTTTAAATTAATTGCAGGATTCCGTAAGACCAAACAACACGTGAGTTTGAATTAAACTTTGCAATGTAAGCAATAGTTGAATAACCATTTAACGACATTCTTATTTAAATAATAACATTTTATTAAAAATATAACAGTTTAATGAATGCTTTCGAGTTTTTTACGTAAGTGATCTTTTCCAAAATGTTTCGCAAGTATTTTTGCGAGATGATTTTTTTTCGCAAGTTTCTTTTCGTAAAGCGTTATTACGTTATTAATTAAAACTAGCTGTCTAAACCCAAAAACTGAATCACGATAAGTTTGTTTCCCACCTACCACTTATATACTTTTTATATAATTTTATATATAAATATTTAATCTATTTATTTCAATTAAGACATAAAATAATTCATTTTGGCTTTAAGTTTTTATTAACAGTTTAACTTTTAACACTTTATAACTATTTATTAACAGTTTATAACTTTTAATACTTTATAACTAAACTTTTATTTCTCAAACTATAGATAAAAATTATCCTAATAATTTTCTACGTGTATTTATATATTATTTATTAAAAATTTTTGGTATCTATATTAGGTGGTGCAGAAATCTACATCTACAATGTGGTAAAGATATGGTATATTTGATATATAATTTTCCCAGAGACATTAAATAAATTAAAAATTTATGAACGTTTTATTATTGTATTATCATATGACTGCAAACTTGATTGTTTACAAATATCAACGATTTGTATATAAAATTAACAACCGTCATTCGCTCCCTAGCGCATTATAAAATGTGCTCTAAAACAAACACATAAGGTCAATTTTCATTATTTCAAATACAAAAATCCAATTGCTCTCTAGCGGCTTGTAAAACATGATGCAATGCAAACACATAATGTAATTTTTGCAAAAAACAAAACGCTAGATGCTCCTAAGCGGTTTGAAAAAATTTATTAAACAGCTGGCGCTGACGTGAGCAAATCATTATTTTGATTGTGAATTACTTGTAAATCAATAAAATAAATATGGATAAAGCTGTATTGCTTAACTTATTGATGATCTTGTTCGGAAATGCTCATCCCGATGAAAAAAGCTAATATTTAGAAAGAAGCCCATGCTTTATGGAACTCATTTAAGGAAGAAAAACTCGAGCATAAACATCTTGAATAAAGGTTAATGAATATGATCAACCCATTCAATGAAAAGACAATGAAGTTCAACAGCAAGCAATTGTCATTTTGGGCCAATACTCTAAAGCAGTTTGTAGAACCCACCAATGAGCTATTTGTCATTAATAATGAACAAAATCCATTAATTTCTAACATGTCGGCTACTAAAAGTAAATATAAAGCAAGAACAGTGACTCAAGATTCTTTCAATTCTGAAATTGCACTTTTAAATTGTGAAGTTGCTGAACTAAAGACTAGGAAGAGAAGTGGATTCATTGCTGAAGCTAAAGAGAATGATTTGAAAAATAAAAAGAGGAAATTAGCTCATCTAACCAAAGAGCTGGCCAAAAAAAGTATGATCAAGCTCAACATAAGAAAACTAAAGAACTGAAACGCTCAACATTCATCTATTGAATTAGAAACAAAAAAATAATTATTGTGTATCTTAATAATATACAAAACATAAAAGAAAAAATGTTAGAAAAACGGCATGTTTCAAAATTGGAGGGTAGCCCCGGACGCATAGTTTAAATATGATTTTACTTCTTTTTTAGCAGTGTGACACAAATGTTATATATAATAATTTAGCATTGGACTGTTCTCGACACAATTTTAAGAAAATCGCCTATAAAAATTGCCTCTAATATATAAAGAATGAGAATGAAAATGTCATCATTTTAAAATATAAACATAAGCTTTTTTATAAAGAAAATAAACACTTTAAAAACACTTTTTTCAAGTCTAAAGTTTTTTTTTTTTGGAATTAAATGAATTACTATTATAGGTTCGTGTATTATATTAAATCCATTAATATTTATATAAAAAAGTTGCTTATTATTAATAAGTAAACGAATTAAGTTGTTCGGAGCCACCCTCCAAACATGTGTCCGATACCACCCAATCATACCTCATTCACAAATACTAGTTTTAAAACCAGTGAATTCGTTTTAAACGAATTTTTTTTATTCAATAACTATTGTAAATAAAAATGCATCTTTAATCATTAAAAAATTATTAGTATTCATAAAAATTAGGAATATTAATATGTGAATCAAATATGATGATACGCCGCTCTTCCGGTGGTGGGAAACAAAATCTTGCCCTCCCACTCATTCGCTTCGGCATATTATGACAGATATTTTGCATATGCCATATTTTCACTCAAATAATGTTATTATAATATTTAAGTCACATAGCTTCTTTAGTTTAAGCTGTACACCAATCGTCCGGAGTTACCCGCCGTCCGGGGCTGCCCGACTTTCCCCTAATATCGGCAATTGTTGTTTTAAAATTGATATAAAATGCGTACCAGATATGAACCGCATAACTCGAAAAGTTTCTTTTGTTCTTATGCGAAGGCGAATAAAATGTTCAAAGCAGCCGTGGCACAGTGGTTAGAGTTCTGGCTCAGAACCCAGAGGTCGCCAGCTCTAGCCAAACAAGCGACATTGGTACGGAAAGAGGCGTGAACTTCCTGTTAAATGCTCTCCCGCGGTGCTCTATGATAAGACCGTAAGGACTTCTGGGAGCACCTAAATACATACAAAAAAAAAAAAAAAAAAAAAAAAAAAAAATCTACAAAAAAAGATAAAAAACAGTCCTTAGGTATATCGACTACTAAAGATTTCATGCAAAAAGTAAATAAATTATACAAAATTATTATTAAATGAGTATCTGACCAAACCACAACCCTCAGTTGATGTAGCTACAAGTTGATTATAAAATTATCTGCGCCTAAATCTCACTAAGTTAATATGTACACTCCGTTAACGTAGTAGTTATAGCCTGTTAACCCTTTCAAACGGCACTTTTATTTTTTAGACGTATATCGAAACATGAGGATTATTTTAAAAAAAACGTCACCTTTTTCTGTTAAATCTTTAACATAAAAATAATGTTTAAAATAATCATTAAAAACACAGTTTTTGTGAGAAAACATATTAGAAATTTTAAAGTATATAATTTTTCATTAGTAGTCTTTTATTAAATGGTAGAGTTAAAACCTTGTGCAACAAATAATTCTACTTTATAAGGGGTGTACTCATAATAAAAATTTTTTCTTTTAACTTTTTTACTTCACAAAACACACCTTCATTTTAGCGCAGTTTTTGATTCTGTTTCTAGTACATATGATGAGAAATTGCTTTGTACAAATCGCATTGGACAAATGTCACAATGCGTAATCATGAAAATAAACTAAAGCACTTAGAAGTTTCATTCTGATTTGAAGACCTTGGAATAAAAACCTTAAATACACCTTTTTATGCAACTTGGATTTATGTTATTTTCTGGTTGTCTATATATAAGTCCATGTAATGACTCTTGTTAAATGTTTAAAAATCTCCTTCAAATTGACTGTCGAAAAAAAGGTACTTTTGAAAAACGTCAATTGTTTAAATGCTCTTCAAAAAAAGAGTCGTTTTTGACCTTTAAGGTTTTCATTAAATGGTTGTCAATTCTAAAGGCTTCAGTTTACCTTCTAACATTTTGTGAATAATTTATTGATTAAATATGGAATAATTAATGAGATATATCAAACTTATCATACCACTTTTTCGCCCTATTACGTTCACAAACGTAGGAGGTTTACATAAGGCTATTTTTGTGGTATTAGGTATGCAATTGGTCATTATATAAACATCTCGTTTATACTTCTATTGCATTATCATAAATTGATATCCATACTCGTATGCAACACATCTTTCGCTTGATTTGAATTTTGCATTATTAACATCTATTAGTAGATATTTTGTGTTGCTTTGTAATAATTCAACAAAATCAGTGTTTTTATGAATTAAAATATCACAAATTTCCAATAACGTATTTCTTTTGTTAAGATGTCTTCGTCCAACATCTAAAAGTTCCTCAGATAATGACATTACTACATCAGTGGCTAGATAATTGTATTGATGAAAAAACGCTGTTCCAGCACTAAGGTTAATACTTTGATTCCAGGCATATCCTGTTTTACCACATGCATATGCAACGGTTTTAATACAAAAGCGCCCACTTTTAGATTGTATTGATTGTTTATATCTAAACCACCTTGTCCAGAGCAGTATTGATTCATCTACGTATATATCACGTGATTTGAACAAAATATTCCAGCGATTAACAGACTACAAAAATCTTTTATTTTTTATTAAAAAATAATAAAAAATAAAAATATAAATGCATTAAAAACTAACTGTTTGCATAAAAAAAAAAAAAAACTGTTTACGTCTGCAAAAATATAGATAGAACAGGCATTCATTAACAAGCGTTTCGAAATTAAAACATCAAACATGTAGTTATGTTCAGTGGCGGACTGGCTGTATATATATTACCGGCCATGAAAATAATTAAAGGGCCCTCCCGGCCATACATATATCGCAAAGACTGTCCGGTCTGCAACTCTCTAAAAATAAGTCTTAAAAGGAGCAATTAAATCACAGATTAATAAAATTATATTGAATTAAAAAAGTAGAAGTGATGTGCAATTTGCACAGTGCAAAGTATAGCAATAGCTATTCTTTAAACAGTTTGTTCAATTCAGAGGACGAAGATGCATATCTTTGAATGATCGTATCATATTCTGGCTATCAAGTAGATTTCTACAGACATCAACATATACGACTCTAAATGGTCATTTGACATAGAATTACGCAATCTTGTCTTGATTAACTTTAACTTAGAAAACGATCTTTCACATTCGGCTTGTGTTACAGAAATAGTACATATTATTTCATAAATATGATACAAATTGTCATAGGTTTTGTCGTTGAGTCTATATGCAGCAAGAATTCGTAACACACAAGATGGACACGATCCGCATGCTCCATTTGTATGCTGATAACAGAGCGGTTCTTTTATGTCATCCTTTTGATATGCATTCTCTCTCAATGTTGTTGTTAAGGGCAAGGACAATTTCAAAATCTCATAGTTAGTGACAAATGATAACAATTCGGTCTTTATTTTATCAACGTCGGCATCTGGTAAAAATTTGATAATGCTGTATAAACTGTTTTCAGGAATTCTCGAAATGGCAGGATCACCAAAGTTTGATGTATCAAAACATGCCATGTCCATATATAATTGTCGATGTGAAGTGAAACGTGACTCAAGACTTTGGACTACCTGATCCATCACCACATTGTAGTGTGAATTTTGTAGTGTTCCAAAGCTTTAGATTCGTCACGTTCGTCTACTGTATGTTCATCATCGTTGGTGTTTTCCGCTTCCGTTTAGCTGGTAGTTCTATCTTTACCTCTAATATGGTTTCAGTTCTCTGAATGATGCTTGCATTTGCCATCCGTACAAATTGAAGAGCGTTATTATGAACATCATCAAAAAGTCTTGATTGACTTTTCAATTCAATTACGGCCTTCTTCACCATCTTGAATGCAACCAACACATTTAATCCACGAGTATGCAGGTATATCGAATATGGTCCCAATTTTTCAAAAACTCGCAGGTAGGTAAAGGCAGTCAAAATGGTGTCAAATTTCAGGAATGGCATGAGCAATGTCTTAGCTTCATGACGTGTCTTTGTATCAAAATTTTCTGATTCGCTTATACATGACAGACAAAAAATTAAATTGACAAACACTGTTGAAGATGGCTCAGCAAATGTTCCAAATATCGCTGTTGCAGCATTTGATTTACCCGACCACCTTGTTTCACCAATCAATTTCAATCTTTTCATCTTATCCATTCCAATTTGTGTTTCAACAAGTTTAATCCATGTTGCCATTCGCTTATATAACACTTTTATGAATGTTGAAACATTTTGCAAAAGGGTAAAAAATGAAACTGCCTGAATGCAGCAACTGGTTGCCTCCTTCACAACTAAGTTGAGAACATGAGCATAACACCAAATATGTACATGGTGGTCTGCAGCTTCTGTAATCTTTTGTTGCAGTCCATTGTACTGGCCATGATAACTTGAAGAACCATCAGGGCTGTCCGATAGTTAGTATTTTAAGTTAAAGCCAAGCCGCTGTAGCGTCAAATTTAATAGATTGAACAAGCCTTGGCCAGTACCGTCATTGCTTGGTACAATAGAAAGCAGCCGTTCATGCACATTAGCATTTAAAACATAGCGAACCACAATGCTGAGTTGGTCAATTGCAGACATATCTTGTGTAGAATCAACTTGTACGGAGTATACTTTTGCTTTGGATACTTCCATTGGAATCTGTTCCTGCATCATATTTTTCATAATATTGAGAAGCTTTAATATAGTAGTCTTACTTAAAAACGTAACCAGAGCACCACAACCTTTACTGCCGGCTTTACCTTGACGCTTCAGTTTTTCTATTCTTTTGGTTGATTTCTCTTGACACATGGAGAGATGAGAAGCTAAAAGTGGGTCATATTTGGCCAAGAGCTGTACCAAAGCCTAAAAATTTTCATGATTTTCTTCATCATTGTCCAACGAATAAGCACCTTCATTCCTATGACCTTGAAATGGCAATGTTTGCTTACATAAATGTTTAATGATATCAATAACTCAAGAAAGTATTTAATTCCGTATCAGTACTTCATCATTATATTTCTTTATTGCTGTACTATAAAATCTGTCAAAGTCTTGATTATTCATTATACGAATGTAATCAAGAACATGCCTGTGGTGAGTGCTGCTTGATTCGTGTTCTGCAACCCGTTGGCTAACTCGTCTGAAATCTTTGAAGCCAGACACAAATGATGAAACGGTGTTAGACTGTGGTGATTCAAATGCAACACAAAATGAGCAATATGAAATTGAGAATTTCGGCTAAATGACAACTAATTTCTCGGTATGCTATCCTTCAAGTCCGTTTGTCTATGGTAGATCTTGTTATCAAACGGCAAATGTTCATGTGGTTGAATTGGATGTTTGCTAAAAAAACATTTTAACTGCAAACGTGGTGGATATTCAAATGTTGATGTACTCTGCGAATTCGACTCAATATCTCCACCACCTCGAGCTTGTATTATTGCTGATGTACTCTTCAAATTCGACTCCATATCTCAACTACCTTTTGCTTGTATAACTTCTGATGTACTCTGTAAATTTGACTCAAGATCTTGACTACCTAGTGCTTGTATTATTGCAGATGTACTCTGCGAATGTGATTCAATATCTCCACCACCTCGCGCTAGTATTATTGCTGATGTACTCTTCAAATTCGACTTAAAATCTCGACTACCATTTGCTTGTATAATTCCTGATGTACTCTGTAAATTTGACTCAAGATCTTTACCACCTCGTGCTTTAATTATCTCTGATGTAATTTGTACATTCGACTCAATATTGCCTTGACATTGTGGTTGTACTGACAAAAATGATGTGATTAACACTTTTTTGCAGAAACTTCTATCTCTGTCTGTAGTTTTTCTTTGCGCTTTTGTGCTCCAGATTTTGACATGATGATAGTGACCTGAGTTAAGATTTTAACATTTAAAAAATAAAGCAAAAATAAAGATCGTCTCCTTTTAGAAAAAATGATATTTAGATCTCCCCAAATAAATTTTGTCCGATCAAATTTGTTTGAACGGCAAAAATTGCAAACCAAACATATTAAAACTCAAATAAAGACAGGCCACTAATGACAGATTTTTTGGTAAAGAAAGGGGGGCAATGACTCCTTAGCCACGGCACTAATTCCGGTATATTTTAGAATCTTAACTATAGCTATAATTTCCAGATCTGTGAAATTCTTGTATTATTTTTTTATATCATGACTTTGCTTACTGCCGGAATTATTTAAATTATTGCATTTAAACATTCATTATAGATGCAAGAAAATTCATTATAGATGAATTTTCTATTGTATTCCTTGAAGGAAATAGAAGGAAAAGTGTAGCAACTACCAGCTTAACCTTTTTTTTAGTACTTTAACTTGATAGGTGAAGAACATTACGATTATTAATGAAAAAAGAACATGTTTTTAAGAAATAATTTGGATTAGACATTTTATAACAGTTCTTACTCTCTTGATCTATAATCATGTTTAAATTAATGAGTTTTTAAATTTTGTTTATAATTTTTTAACAATTTGAAGCGACAGAACGAAATCCTAAAGAATTTCAAATATAGACTTAATAAAAATCTAAAATTCTGTTTAAGCAAAAAAGATATATACATATTTTTTTCTTTCAACACAAACAGAAGTAGCTGTATTAAAAAATACCTTTTCATGTATTTTTTCTCATCCTAAGTTATACATTGTCAAAGGTTAGGATTTTGCTAAAATTCCGATTTAAGTTTTACTTATTTGCCCTAAAGGGCAAATTAGTAAAACTTAAATCGGAAACCAGCATAGTTAAACTACCCTGAGGTACTTTAAGCTGACTAACACAAAAAGTGTTATTTATGTGTTACATAAACAGTAATGCTTATAAAAAGTTACAGAAAACTTGATCATCCGGAAATTTATTTAATCCTCTACTTTTCAAATCTTATCATTTCAGCCAATAAGTATGATTAATGATCACCTTTAAATAATTATTTTAAGCGCGGAAGTTAATTAAAAGTTTTAGATTAAAAAAAGATAATAAATTTTATACAAACTAAAATACCAAGACTAACATCGCTTCAGTAAACTGGTTGATCAAGTGTGTTTTTGTGTTGAACTATTATTTTTTTAATTTTGAAATGAATATTTTATTCATTTTTTAATTAATTCAAGCACCGCAATTGCAATAATAGTTACAAAGTCAATTCCCTTAGGAAAATCATTGATTATATTTGTATCTGAAAATCATTAACAATTGCAAAACCTTAGCAATTATATGTAAAACCCTTCTTCGACCATCAATAACGATTGTAAAGTTTTACGATCATTATTGATTGTCAAAGGAGAGTTTTACATGAAATTAGTTTTACAGTAAAACTATTTCTTTACAGAATTTCGCACTTAATAGAGTTGAGTAGTATATACAAGAAATTAAAAATAGTTTAACTTTATCATTAATTGTAATAATTATATATATATATATATATATATATATATATATATATATATATATATATATATATATATATATATATATTTACATATATAACCTAATATTTATACTATATATATAAGTATATTACCTAATATATATACTGTATATATATACTATATATATATATATATATATATATATATATATATATATATATATATATATATATATATATATATATATATATATATATATATATATATATATATATATATATATATTAGGGGCCCACCGTTATATATATTTCAAGGGGATCACCGGCCAAATGGCCGGTGGGCCAGTCCGCCACTGGCTATGTTATCAAATTGTGGTTGGCCCAAGACAGGTTTTCCGTCAAAATCGCTGAAAACAGAATAATGATCTCAAAGTATTAGCAATATTTTTTACGAGTTTTATTTATTTTCCGTTTAATGCATATATTTATTTAACAGGAAAAGAAAGATCTTTCATATTTTTTTTAATAGAAGATAAAATCTGTGATAGAAAAAACTATTATTTAAAAGTTTAAGAATTTTTATAAATTTTATGCGGGAATTTTTTATTGCTAAACTCGTAAAACCCAACTTTACATTGCGTGAAACAGCCATGAACAGCAGACAATAACTGCAAAATGAAGGCGTAGTCACAAGATGCAAATATAGGCCCACTATAAATGAATTTGAATATACAAGAGCTTATTAACAGAATTTATTTGTTATTTTTTATGTTTCCGTTAATTTTTTCTTCAGAAATGAAATTAAATTGTCTTATTCCTTCTTTAGGAGATTCTTTTAGCCAATTTAAATCCTCATAACAGCGACCTTTTTCTTTTTTTGAGCTTTTGTTTTTGTTATATTCTTGATATCTTGCTCAAATGATTGAATATTTTCAAGAATATTATCCACAATCGCACTGTTATCACTCAAATATATTTCTCTTCTGCTTCTAATTCAATTGAAAACTCTTTTTCACTGCCTGATAAGGATTTATTTAACGAAGAAAGAGTCTTCTGACAGAAATTAAACGTCGTTAAGCAGTCTTATTTTTTATTTTTATTAACGCAAGTTGTGTTTATTAGTACCATATAGAACATTTGTGAATCCTAAACTGAGGTTTGAAGGATATACGATTCATTTTAAGATGTTATAAACAGTAAAAATAACACCTTTTCTCAATGCGTTTAAAACAGTAAAAATAACACATTTTCTCATTCCGTATTATTACGGCGTCTTGTCTCAAAGGATTAACGAACTGTTATAGCCGTTAGGGCAATGCGTTACGCCTACGGCTGGAGGTTACATAAATGTTGCGTAATATTGAAGGCAGGGGGCAATTAATTGTTACAATGCTTACAAAGGAGGGGGGGGGGTAATGTTTGAAAAATGTCAAAAGTTGCGTGACGTAATTTATAGACAACCCTTATTACATCGATATCCAAAGTTAATAAATAGATAGCAGTTTTTTCTGCAAGAGAAAAAGCAACTTTATAAAATACTTTAATATGACAACTTTATTAATACTTATTTGATTCATTCAAATAAGAAAATGTTTTGGTTTGTCGAAAATTTTACTAACATTTAAATTCGTTCAATTTTTAAAACGCAGCATAATGTTTACATTTTATGTTTTTAATCTGTAAAATGTTTGCGACACAAAAACTGTTATCACAGTTTTTAAAGTAATATGTGTTCTGTTTTAATTTTGGTGAATGTTAGAAACCAAGTAGAAGCGTGTTGAAAGTCACGCGTTATTTTATTGTTTAAATATTTTATTTAAAAGTATATCTTAGTTAGGGTTGCCTGACGTCCGGCTTTTACGGAGAATACAGCGCCAAACTTGTAAAAATAATTTTTTTTACTGTGTCCGCGAACGTAAAAGCCGAACACCTGTCAACCCTAGTCATGGGGCTGCATTAACTTTGTATAAAAATAGAACTTTTGTGAAGAATTTTTGTGTGTGTTTTTGAGGTTAACAGAAAATGTGAAAATATTGTTTTTATTAAATTCGTGGACGAAACAATTCAATAAGCTACTTGGACGATTATGCCACCAGTTTTCATAGATCAAACGTTTAGCTGGAAATAAAGCTGGGTGTGATTTTGAAAAAGAGGATTGCGATTGGTGGAAAATGGCTATTACCAGTGAGTGCAAAAGATGAGCTTTATCGTGATATACCATCTAGAGGACATCAAATAATTCTGCTTATTGGTGGAGTAATTGTTGAAAACACAGCATGGCTACGGAAAAGTTCCGAAATGAAGAATATGTTAACAAAGCATTACCGTTACCAACTTCTGAATTATCTCTGCCTAATGCTTCAAAAATAAGTGATAAAAATGAATCAAATGTCATTGATAACAATTCTGATAATGAGTTTAAATTTTCATCAGAGGAGGAATCTGAAAAATGCCTCTTACACAGAAGAAAATTTTAAGGCCAAAATTTTCAAGGCCAAGGCCAACAGTTTCAAGGATAAAACCAAGGCAAAGGTCTTAATTTTTAACCTTGAGGCCAGGCCTTGGCCAATTCTGGTTTGTTGTGTTCCTCAGAATAATATTTTTCTACTGTATTGAAACCTGAGTTGTAAGTTAAAGTGTTGCTGAGAAAACATAATATATAAAAAATCTTT